TTGTATCCTATCCTGTAACTCTATGAAAGTGGAGTCTGCAGTCATTACCCGAGTTCCTTGAGATTTGGCTGAGTTTGAAACTGCAGCCCAGCCTGAACAAGATTTGTAGCCATGCTGAGACGCGTTCGCCCTATCGCAGAAGAGCCTCTTGTGAGGATGTTCAAGAAGCCGACCCATCTGAGCGCTTGCCTCAATCCATGCATCATCCGCTGATCAGAAGATTGGGTAATGGGTGAGCATTCACAATTGGGGACTGCCGTCTGAATGGAATGTAAATGCCGCTAGGTGAAGTGTACAGATCCCCTGCCAGACAATCGAGTCGCGGATGCGTATGCTGCAGTTCCGTATGACAACGCCGGGGTGAAGAAGAACGAAGCAAAATATTAGCATAGACGTCTTTGGCTGTTGAACTAATTTGACTACATGAGTTGTTTTTGAAGAGGTATAATCAAGAACAATCTGTGCGGGAAAGAGTTAAATTTTAACGAAATCAGAGAAAGAAAGAACAAGGGTAAAAAGCCTGCATGTGGTCAGGTCATCATGAAGCCTAATAGCTATGTAGGACATAAATAACTCAAAACAAAACTGGCACCCCCGAGCATTTTGGATGAAAAATTGGATCGCCACATTTGCATCAGATGCAGAGCCATGTCAACACGTCGGTGTCATGCAAGAAAAGAAGAGCATTTGTAGCTTAAGTGAGATGGAGTTGGGGGAGGTAGTGCAGGGGTTATAGAGGTGAAGTCCGGATGGATTAATGAGGTTGTCAAAAGCAGTGACCAATGCAATTCATGTGATTACATTCGTGTGCAATTCTTTCTACTTAAAATCTCAAACAAGCCAGTAAAGACATGATTGACTAACGACCTTCTATTCTACCAACCGGCCAGAGATCCAGCTTATATATCTACCTACACACCGTGCTTTCCAACCATTCTACCAATTTACGAACATACCAAAAATATTGTCAGTCTATAATGCATTCTAAAAACTAATCTAGCAATCAATTATTATGTGAAGAAAAGTTGAATTTAGAGGAATCTATTGTTTCATAATTGTTGAGCTTACTTCCATTTCAAGTGAAAGTGTTTGGTGAAGAGATTCGAAGACGGTGACGGGTTCCTCCTGACCAGCTGTCGATTGGCTTTAATGGAATATTCTTTTTGACGTTGTTTCAGAGGTAATCTCCTTCGAGTCCGGTGAGAATGTGCCAAGCTTACGTATAATGTATGACGGACCTCATTAGAGCAGTGTCGTCCTTACGAACATATTCAGATTAATGCGTGTTATTGCTATTGCCTCATCTTGAATATGTTTGTAAGGATGATACCCTGCTCTAATGATGTTCGTTATAAGTTTGACAAAAGCTTAACATGTTCTCACCTGATTCGAAGAAGATTATCTCGGAAACAGCGTCAGCAAGAATGTTCCAATAAAGCCAATCGACAGCTGGTAAAGAGGAATCCGCTACCATCTTCTGGAGGGATGGACCTTCAAATCTCTTCATCAAATAGACTCACTCGAAATGGAAGTAAGCTCAACAATTACAATTTTTTAACCCGACTACTTATCAAACTATCTAAAACTATATAAACTGAACAACAAATGAACATCATCATCAGCTCTCATAATAGGATTCGAAGCATGGGCGTGCATAAAAGATACTTTAAGTAGAGCCATGAGATTTAGAGGCAATTTGCTTGCATATTAACGCGAATTTGGGTGACTCACAGCCAACTGGAGGTGCTGATGAGATGATAAGTTGAGAGCGAAACCCCAGTCCAGCCTGAAAGAGAGAGCGACTGTTTGAACACCTTTTTTGCACCAAAGTCAACTTTATTGCAAGAAAATCAAGCCTTATTTTCAATTATTAATGGACCGAATCGCAGCTCTGATACACAACGTTATAGAAAATGATGTAAATTCGCTTCAAAAAGATAAAATGACAAATAAAATTGCCTAACTTGCCATACTAACAATCTGCATACAGTCTGTCATACTAATTAAAAACATAACCAAAAGCATTTCACAGAACAACAAAACTAACTATCATATTTTCAACCATATAGTTCTGAATGTTAGTAAAATTCAAGATAGCTATTTTTCAAATAAATAGCCAAACAGCAGACCCCCAAATCTAATCATATTTTATTATAATCAACATAAACCAAGCTACATACATAGTTATCTTTTAAAATATAAATATACCAAGCTACCTACCTATCTAATAAACTATTTACCTAGTTACCTATCTATCGATCTACCAACCTACGTACTTATCCATGTATTTATCTACAAATGAACCTAACTACCTGTTTCCGAATTCCCTAAAATCTGCAAGCCTGTATTCGCCACATTTCATTAGGGCGATAAGGACTTGTAGTTGAATTTTCCCACAATGTTTTGTGGGGAACTTTTGCTTCCATCGAATTTCACCTAGCCTTGCTTCCAAAAAGGTATTATCATCCAGGCGGGTGCGGACTGCGGTCTCAACCTCGCCTTGGTATCCTCAGCACCCTCAGTGGGACTCGGACCGTCAAGTACAGCGTATAATCCTGACACATTAATCACTACGCCACACTTCCATCAGTGCCCTCGAGTCATAGAGCAGATGCGAATTTCAAGGAAGGCCAGGCATTTTCTCATATCACACTCTGCTGTGGGATAGTCGATAAAGCAAACCTGTATTTGTTATAGCAAGCGAATAGCTTAATTGTTTTTCGTTTATCAGTACGTTTCAGAGACTACCAATAGATCATATATATGATGCCTATCCTGCAGTCCACCCTGGATGAGAATACCTTTTGGGAATCAAGGCTATATGAAATTCAATAAAATCGTTAAAAAAATACCACTAACAATCCTTCATCACCCCAACGAAAGAGTGAATACATCTCATATAAGTGATCAGCTGTCAGTCTCGAAAACCTAGTTATAAACGAAAAACAATATTGACACCTATCTAGTTACCTACTAAACCTATTTTTATAAAAATCAACCAACCTACCTACCTACTTTCCTGCCTACCCCATAGGAGTACCAATATCTTACTACCACTATATATACCTAACTAGCATTCATACATAACTATTTTTCAAACAACTCACCTTACATTCATACCATTAGGCCTTCCGAAAAGACAGCCTACCTATGAACGTTAAAATTGAGTCTGCTAATTTCCTATCTCATTACAAAATAAACCTACTACCTCACATTTTACCTTCATAAATAGCAAACTACCTATCAAAATACATATATATCTACCTTCCAAGTTGCCTATCTATATTCCCACCTAATACATTTCTTACATAGCACCATATCTGCTAAACTATTTACCTCCCAACCCTCTATCTACCAATGTTCCTTCATAAGCTATTAATTAACCAAACAACTACAAAAAAATCTTTCTTATCTTTAAGAATACCTAAAATTTAACTAAGCAACTACCTAACTAAAATTTAATTAATCAATCTATCTTCTTTCCTACAGGCTTAGCTACCAACCATTCGACCTAGTTGCCCAACTAAAATTCAACGGACAAATTTGCATGCCTATCTATCTACCTAGATATCTATCTAACGTCCTACTAACCCGTTGAAATTTCTAACTACCTGCTTACAAATCTCTCATTGTATTAACCACTTTACATACTTGCCTGGCATGCCTCCAATTGCCCAACAAATCACCAAGTTATCCGCATACTTACAGTACTATCATCATGCCCACTTTTCTGTTAACCTGCACCTCTACCTTCTTATTCATCTAGAAAACTATTTATCGACAAACAAAAGGCCACACCGTCGTGGTCTTCATATCTATCGACACTTATATTTACACACATGCCTATGCATATGCTGAGCCATCATCTTGTCCACCCTGATTGAGATTCATTCTTTTCAATGACTTTTCTTCTATTATCTTCTCTTTCTACTTTCTCATCATCATTCCTATATCTTGTATGCCTATGCTCAAGCACTTTGTGAATTATAGGAGATATGATTATCCTTTTTCGTCTAGGATGATAAGGGGTCTGGTAGTTGAATTGTTAATTAATTTTCTCGCAAGGGAGTAGTACCTGGCTAGCTTGTCATTGCCACATACTGTGCTTTATGGAATAGGTTTTTCGGTCCTGAACTTAAACTGACTCATACTTGGAATTGTGAAGAGATCTATGCATAACCAAAATTCCAGTAATGCCTAGATGTAAAGTCATGTCTGGATATATATATATATATATATATTGATGAATATATATCGAAATTCTACATATTTAAATTTATATGTATACTAATCAATATCCCAAATTTTGTAGCCCCTTACGTATTATCTTCAGTTTAGTTAAAATATTTTTCCATTTAACTTTTCTCTAACGATCTTAGGCTCTATTTCACTTGGGATGTCATCACTTCAGCAAGCTAGACTTTTTATTTTGTCGAAGGTATGAGGACCAAGAGGGTGTTACCTTAAGTATGGTCGCGGTCTCCTTTCGAAGTATAAAAATTGCTTAATTTTGTCTTCGCAACTTGATCATATTAACGGGAATACCTAAAGAAATGCACTTTGTCCGGAGTCCATAGTATGCATGATAATTTCTAGAGTCGGACTGTAGACATTTCGCTGGCATTATAGTCGGCATTGTCAATTAGCCTTGCCATTGTTAGAACCACACTACAACTCGTTCCTCTGGGTCTTCCTGCCAATATGACCAAGTTGTGAAAACAAGACCAAACGAATTCTCATTTTGCCTTTATAATTGGCAAATTTATTACATATAACCCTTGTGATCACCTTTATAGGATGTAAGCCATGCTTTTTGTTTACGTCTTTAAAGGACCCGCTCACTTTCGGTTCTTTTCATGCTTTGTCGATGTGCCAATGGCTAAATTAGGCTGATTTCCATCAACGAAACCTCTCTTGCAATCGGATGTTAATGCGAAATCTTGAACCTGTCTCAAGTAAATTATGGCTCGATGACCAAGTGTGAACAAGAACTGGGGTGGGTGTGCTACCGAGCTTGTTATGTAAGTTTGCTGGCTTGCTCGCTTGACATGAATTGATGAGCACCACAAAGCTGATGTTCTCGATCTTGAAGACACACTGAGGAAGATGCTAATTAACGTTGATTAATGAACTGGTGGCAGTCGTGTTCACAGAGCGCCCACAAAGTTAAAAGGATGCACTTACTTGTACAGACCAAAGTTGTTTAGACTCATCGAGAGAGAGGCAAACCGATGAAAATAAGCGCAATTAACCAAACGGCAGATGCGTTTCTGAAGAGCTGATCTGATAACTGCTTCTGGTGGGTACAACTGGCATCGCGGCTCCTGTGCTATGGGGTTTTTTCTGTCAAAGACACTGTGCTTATGTACTACTCTCCCAGTAAAAAGAAGAGCAATTGTGCGACTCGATTGCTGAGGCTACTGTTAGCTTATCTACATCGCAATAACAAGAGAGAATAAAACAGGACGCCGTTCAGAAAGTCGCTTTCAGCTTTTTTGTTTATTTATCGAATGAACTGGTTTCGAATATGTCAGGAGATCTGATAATGAAATTTTGCACAATTAATGCCAAAACTTCAATTTCGATTTATTCTGTTCCTCTTCAGCAGCCCTAAGTCTTATCATGGCCTCAAACCACATATGTAAACAGCAACATGTGTTTTAGGCTACGAGGTTTCACACGTTACAAAAGCACATAATCGACAATCCAACTGTGATACTGTTATTTGGGTGAGATCTAACTTGCTCTAAATTTCACAGCTTCCCCGTGACTTATTGAAACGCTGTGGCTGCGTAGTCGAGTTGTAACTTCGATACGATACTCAATGCAGGGCATCGAGTCCTGTTGAGTGTGATGATGAGGTCTGAGCGAGGTCGAAAATAAATGAGAGTAAAAACTTTAGACTAGCCATCCTCAATTATCAATTCAAGAATTACAGATATTCTAAAAGGTTACTGAGATCAAAAATAAGTTCAACAGGTTTTAATGGTAGGTTTATGCACCAAAAGATACATATATAGTCACGACATGGCCGTGAAACATTTTTTGTTTCTGGGTGCGCTGCAAAACATGTGAAACGTTGGTACATAGCACCAACTATCCAGAATGCTGAAGCTCACAAATGACCATCTGGATTCATCAGTCGAAGTGACAATGAATCCAGACCGAAAACTCCAGTGGTCATTGCCTTCCTATTTATCTTATTATATTTTGCATTTGGAAATAGGTTTTCGAGACTACCAGCAAATCAGATGTATGTGCTGTGTTCTAATACAGACTTACAAGGCCTTCCTTGATGGGAATTCGGAAGCAAGTGTTTGAATAAAGCCTGTAGTCAGGCCACTCCTTCTTCATAGATGCTGTTATTCTTATTCTACTTCGTCTGATTTCATAGCTTTGTTTAATTGGGCTTTAGACCGCAAGCATAC